GCACATGGAGGTTCACAAAGTGCTGCACCTGCCACGAAATCTGCACATGGAGGTTCACCAAGTGCTGCACCTGCCACGACATCTGCACATGGAGGTTCACAAAGTGTTGTGCCTGCCACGAAATCTGCACATGGAGGTTCACAAAGTGCTGCACCTACCACGACATCTGCACATGGAGGTTCACAAAGTGCTGTGCCTGCCACGAAATCTGCGCATGGAGGTTCACAAAGTGCTGCACCTACCACGACATCTGCACATGGAGGCGCGCAAAGTGCTGTGCCTGCCACGAAATCTGCGCGTGGAGGGTCACAAAGTGCTGCACCTGCCACGAAATCTGCGCATGGAGGTTCCCAAAGGGCTGTGCCTGTCAGGAAATCTGCGCATGGAGGTACACAAAGTGCTGCACCTGCCACGAAATCTGCGCATGGAGGTTCACAAAGTGCTGCACCTGCCACGAAATCAGCACTTCAAGAAACAAGTGAAAACTCTAATCCCAATGGACGGACGATTCCGAGCATGATCCGAGCATGACCCGAGACCGTCTCGCGACCGTCGTTCCGCAGACCTTGACTTGCCAGCTTCGGAGCCACCGGTTCCATTGAAAAATACAGCATTTCGTGCCTTCGCTATCTCTCCACAACCCATTTTGTCTTGCGCCTGCCACGACATCTGCACATGGAGGTGCACAAAGTGCTGTGCCTGCCACGAAATCTGCACATGGAGGTTCCCAAAGCGCTGCGCCTGCCACGAAATCTGCACATGGAGGTTCCCAAAGTGCTGCGCCTGCCAGGAAATCTGCACATGGAGGTACACGAAGTGCTGCACCTGCCACGAAATCTGCGCATGGAGGTTCACAAAGTGCTGCACCTGCCACGAAATCTGCGCTTCAAGAAACAAGTGAAAACTCTAATCCCAATGGACGGACGATTCCGAGCATGATCCGAGCATGACCCGAGACCGTCTCGCAACCGTCGTTCCGCAGACCTTGACTTGCCAGCTTCGGAGCCACCGGTTCCATTGAAAAATACAGCATTTCGTGCCTTCGCTATCCCTCCACAACCCATTTTGTCTTGCGCCTGCCACGAAATCTGCACATGGAGGTGCACAAAGTGCTGCGCCTGCCACGAAATCTGCACATGGAGGTTCACAAAGTGCTGCACCTACCACGACATCTGCACATGGAGGTTCACAAAGTGCTGCACCTGCCACGAAATCTGCACATGGAGGTTCACAAAGTGCTGCACCTGCCACGAGCTTGAGCTGGTGTATGAGCGGTGTATGATGAGTGGTGTATGATGGGTGGTGTGTGATCAGTCGTGTATGATGAGTGGTGTATGAGGAGTAGTGTATGATGAGTAGTGTATGATGAGTGGTGTATGATGAGTAGTGTATGATGAGTGGTGTATGATGAGTGGTGTATGAGGAGTGGTGTATGATGAGTGGTGTATGATGAGTGGTGTATGATGAGTGGTGTATGATGAGTG